ACAGCACCCACGTAAAGAGGGCAGAGCCTAAACAGGTTTCAACTATATTTTTTTTGGGGCGCAATCCTTTTCAATTCTTTCATGCCTTACTCTTTGTTTAGGTCCTATACATTATACTACCGTATATATAATTATTTTTATTTTTTATCACAGTTTTCTACTGCCTTAAATGCCAACAACTCTTCAATATTAATAAAAATATTCTCCATAAGCAGCCATGATCCACGTTATTTTCACCGGGAGAAATCGCTGATTGGTTGTTAGCTATTTGTGCCGCTTGGGCCCTGCGAAAGCAACGCCTCATCGAGATGTTAGCTAAATTGTGATGCGCACAAATCAAAAGCAGCGTCTGCGCATACAGAATAGCTAACGCGTTAGCTATTCCGTGCATCGAAAACGCCTTACAATAACCGCCTTTAATTATGTCCGTTAATAATTCCAAGCTCAATATACTGTACGTTTTGTTTTATTGTAGAGTATATAAACGATTTACCCTCATGATCCTCCTATTTCTTATACACGAGGAAATTGAAATGCTTCTACTTCCTCAAATAGGTTTCAATCCTCCTAAACATTGTCGTTCTTATTTTCAATTTATAATTATGGTTTTAGTTGCGTCGCGTTACCAGAGTACAGAGTCAAGTATGACTTGAGATGAGTTTTTTATTTAAACCAAGATTGCAGCTGCTGTGATGCTGACATTGTGGAAGTCACTTCGGATCACCTGAAGATTAACTACCCTAACGCTACCTTGAGAAGTTAGTGTGTTTGGTTTGGTTAGGTTAGTTTAGGTTAAGTTTGGTCAGTTTAAGTTAGTGGGAACAGTCAGAACAGAGAGAGGTATTTGGCTGTCTCACTTACCCGACATTAGAGTCACCCTGGTAAAATCCCCGACCGTTTTTTACGACGCATTCGGTTTTTTTTTTGTGAGTGAAGTGGTGGTGGTGAAGGTCCTGGTGGTGAATGGCAGTGATGATGGTGATGGTGATCTTAGAAGACGAAAAAGAAAAAGAGGAGGAGGAGAATCAGCAACTAGAAAAGCACAAACACATCACAGTTTACCTAATATATAGTATTACCCAATAACTATCACCTTGACATAAAACTTCGAAAAACTTAGACAGCGAGACACAACGATATTATCTTTCATTATTCCACATGTGATCCCTAACGCTGGCTTATTTTAACTTAAGATTAACCTAACCTAACCCCCCAGGGAGTGTTACTGTCTAATCTTCAGTCGAAATGAACTGGTGTCTAATCTTCAGACAAAATAAGCTGGGGTGTCTAATCTTCAGACAAAATAAGCTGGGGTGTCTAATCTTCAGACAAAATAAGCTGGGGTGTCTAATCTTCAGACAAAATAAGCTGGGGTGTCTAATCTTCAGACAAAATAAGCTGGGGTGTCTAATCTAAAGCAAAATAAGCTGGGGTGTCTAATCCTCAGGTGATTACTGCACAGTATATTTCTGCTAAATTTGGACTATTTTATTTATCCTCGGACTTGTTAAAATCTGATCGAGCTTCTAAATAAATGAAAATGACGGAAGCATCTGGCTGTAATAGACCAAGGTGAACACACTCCAAATTTCAAGGCAAACGACATACAATAGAAACATGGTTATTACGAACGGCAGTAATTTGAAAAAAAAAACGGGAAAAGAAAACAAGGAAAACACAAGGTGTGATCACATGGGCGGACAAAACACTGTAATATGGTTATGTTGCCTCAGGGGGCTGGCCCGGACAGTACATGACTCACACAGGTACTGTAATTATTATAGCAGGTTGGGTCATCAATAGAGCTTATCCTGACCTATCCAAGAGGTCTGGTGAGTTTTTCCCCGCCTCACCGGAGATAATTTCACCAGAGTTGCAGTGCTCAATCCAAGGAAGTGAACGCTTAATTAATGAGACTTGAATCTTGGGGGAATTGGGGAGGCCAGCAGGAGGTAATACTTTGGCCTCACATTGTGTTCCCACTACCTGTGCCTCTCACTGTGTTCCCACTACCTGTGCCTCACTGTGTTCTCACTACCTGTGCCTTTCACTGTGTTCCCACTACCTGTGCCTCACTGTGTTCCCACTACCTGTGCCTCTCTCACTGTGTTCCCAATACCTGTGCCTCACTGTGTTCTCACTACCTGTGCCTCTCACTGTGTTCCCAATACCTGTGCCTCACTGTGTTCTCACTACCTGTGCCTCTCATTGTGTTCCCACTACCTGTGCCTCTCATTGTGTTCCCACTACCTGTGCCTCTCATTGTGTTCCCACCTGTGCCGCTCTCATTGTGTTCCCACTACCTGTGCCGCTCTCATTGTGTTCCCACTACCTGTGCCTCTCTCACTGTGTTCCCACTACCTGTGCCGCTCTCATTGTGTTCCCACTACCTGTGCCTCTCTCACTGTGTTCCCACTACCTGTGCCGCTCTCATTGTGTTCCCACTACCTGTGCCTCTCTCACTGTGTTCTCACTACCTGTGCCTCTCTCACTGTGTTCCTACTACCTGTGGGGTGGAACATGAGGAGTTACAGTGTGAGTGGATGAGGCAGTAGGCCAAAAAGATTTCTGATGAGGATGTCAAATCCTCAAACTTACTCTGAATAAAACTGCTCTTGGCTGGACTCCGATCAGAAATAAAGGAGTGACTAATAAGTGCACAAGGAGAACCGCCCATATTTGCCACAGTAAACATAATAGAGGGAAAAATTGAGATGAACGAGGTTTTAATCAAAAGATCGTAATGGAAAAGAAATAGTTAATCTACTTGTGGTGAGTAACACACACACACGCACACGCGCGCGGGTGTGGCGGGGAATTACCGTCTCCCTCTCACCCCCAGCACCAACCAGATCACCGTCATAGTGGAGGACAAAAGCTTCACACAATATGTTTACAAACCAAAACATTGTTCATTGTACTTAATTATTAGCTTGTGATTCATGCCAGTGAACTTTACTGTAGTACAGTTGTTTTTTGGTGATGTCGCTGAATTATGTCACCCATATCATTATACGCCAACATTTAGAGCATTAACAATAAGACAAACTTAGAAGTGACGGGAACATCAAGGATGTCTTATACACCCGCTTTGAACATTTCGTGTTTGTAGTGTTGACAAAAGGTGTGGAGAACCGGTCTTGACCTTGAAATATTAAAAATGTTACTAGAAGAATATAAATGTCGCCTTTATCTTGTATCCCTTACGTAAACAATTCACCTCTGGGTGCCGAGTTTCAAACCCGGACCACCATGGTTGGTAGTCAGGCAGCATATCCATATTACAGGTTCTCATCACATCAGGGCCGATCCAGACCTCAAATGTGACCGATGCGTACGGTCATAATTTTTTGCGCGATGCATGTGCATCGGCATGGATATATTTATTCATTATCATCAATACTTTCTCCATAAGTCTGAACATAGACTCACCACTGTGAGTGTATTACAACAGAGTAAGGATTACAGTAGTTGCGTTTCAAAAGTTTAATAATTTTTACGTAATCTATCTTCCCTTTCATACCACAGTACAGCAGCCATCAACCATCAATTATTGTCTTTTCCTGGACTTTAATAATACAATAAGACTAAAAATCAATGCAAAAATCCACATAAATGCCTGTTTGTACATTACAATATAATGAATCTTTTAGCACTCGCCCCTTGCTAGGGGTCAGCACCTGGGGCACCCCAAGTCCACCCAATCGGGGCATTTAAAGGCGGCGTCACACTAGCACTCTATTCCGTCAACTTTCCTGGTTTCCGTCACTTGTTCCACGAATTGGCTTTTTGGGGGGGGGGGGCGTCTCGCTCAGACGAAACGTATCGTTTCCGCGTGACTGGCTTGAGCCAATTTTTGCGGTCAAGTCAAGATCTATACTCGACAATGAGGGTATTTATATCAAATATACAACGTAAATTAACTTAATTTAATTTTAAAAGTATTCAGTACAGCATTTTTAATAAATTGCTTAGGTGTCAAATTTTTATTGATGTTGATATTTGTAAATACTGTACTGTACTGTGCATCTGATACGTTTGTTTACATTTTTTTTTTATTGGGCACCCCCCTACATCATTGTGTAAGGTGACGCGCAGAAGTGTTTACAGTGCCCAACAGGGAAGCATGCTTGCCTTTATGTCTCACGAGTCAAGGGCGTAGAAGCCTGAAGAGTCAATGGTTTTATGTCATCAAGTTATTGGAAGCTCCAACAACTCCCTGAATACGAATTCGCAACTTTCGACTTACAACAGGTACCTACTTTACTGCTAGGTGAACAGGGACTAATGGGGGTTAGGAAGTATGTCCAAACAACAACCACCGGCCCGGGAATCGAACCCGTGACATCTTGCTTGCAAGGCAAGAGCGATACCGCTTCTGCCACCGGCCCCCCATTTGTTTACATTGAACCATGTGTTCAACTTTTTTCACGGCCTCTCTAGTCCTGTGTGGACACGCCTGTCTCAAGAATACATGACAGAAAACATTAAATCTCATCGTTGCCTGTGGGATTCAAGGGACGATAGATACAGTAAAAAAAAATGAAGAGGAAGGCATACAACGCCATCTTCTTTGTTTACAATTGACGAACGCGGAAAAACTGACGCCCTAGTTCTCTATGCGCCTGTGATGGCAAAAGCTCAAGATTTTTTTTTTTTTTTTAGAAAATTGCTGCAGTTATATGGCGGAAAAGGTGCTAGTGTGACACCGCCCTTAAGCAATAGAGTGCATTACCGGGTACACTGCCTCCTTGTGCATCAAAGGCTTAGTATGCTGTATGCGGCTGCTGTGCCCATACCAGGCAAGCAGGCCTATGGGACCCATTCATTGTCTTCTAGTGGCACTAATTCATGTTATGAGTACTGTACAGACATTTTTCCTTTTAAATACTAACATCAAATCTTAGAAGACATGATGCCTGAGCTATGCTACTTTATACATATTGTAACAATGTAAACATGTCAGTCTAATAAATACTAATAAGTGTCATGTGTTGCAGGTTCTCCCCAATGGACGGGTTCTTCTTGTCAATGTTCCTGGCGGTGTGTATCGTGGCAGCGGTGGTCATCCGCTTCGTGTGCTATCGCCTGGCGTGCGCCCGCCAGCTGCTCACCCGTGATGACCAGTCCATGCTGCCCAGGAACACCACACCCGTCATCATGCCAGCACACGCCAGCCGACAGCAACGTACCCCGCAGCTGCCTCACAATATCACTGACTCTCCCCTGGTGACTCGAGGTAGTGAAGTTTTTACCATATATACATTCTCTCAGCAGTCTACACCGGAACAAGAGAGGGCACGCCGCATCACACCACCACCTAAGTACTCCATGCTCTCTGACGTACCGCCCAAGTACGAGGACCTCTTCCCTCTACCAAACTGTACCCCCTGCAAAGTTGACAACTGCCTCTCCCCCGCCTCCCTCCACCACCTCCAGCACTCATCATCCGCTCCTCCCTCTTATGCGTCCTACACAACAAAGCCACCAGCCCTTACCAGCCCTAGTGACAGCAGCTGCCCTGTTCCCACCACCAGCAACACTCCCACCACCTGCTCTGCTGACACCAGTATTCCTATTCCATCCACCAACCCAGACAACGTCATTACCCCTGACGACAGTACCAGCTCCCCTGACTCCTCTCACCCTGCTTACACCACTGACACAATCAGCCATACTCCCACCACCAGTCAGACCGACACCACTGGTCCTCTCCCCTCCACGTCTTCTACAACAAGCCCAGCCAACACCTACACCAGCAGCGGCACACAAACCAGCCTCTCGCTCTACCCTCCTCCCGTCATCAGGGTAGAACCTGCTGATGACCTGCCGCCCCATAGCACTATTCTTGTGCCTGAGGACAGTGATTAAAACTGGCGAATCTCTTATAAAACTTTGGGCATTGCAAATATAGCGTCCTCATCTTACTAAGTCATGTTACTAAAAGACAAGAGGAAACGAGCCCCCGCCTCACGGCCACCTGAGGGAAGTCTCGCCCGGGACATCTCTGGAGACACTGTGGTCAGTCGGGACCCGCTCTTACTCTGTGTGATAATAATGTACACATATCTTCCTGATGGTGCTATGACGTGTGCTGCCTGCTGATGGTGCTACAACACACGCTGCCTGCTGATGGTGCTACAACACACGCTGCCTGCTGGTGGTGCTACAACACACGCTGCCAGCTGGTGGCATAAGGGTCTAGTAGGCCCCACACCAACTCCTGCCTCGCTAGTGTACCAGACACCAGAAAAGTATAGGAGAATGTAATCTGTAAGGACATAACCCAACCAATGTTTTCGAACTACTGTACAGTGCCACAATGTTACCAAGTAGTGTTGCCACTTGCCACCTACCAAGGTCTCAATCAAGTGACTAGTATTTATCATGACTTTATTTGCGTTATGGTTTTATGTGCTGGCATATATGTAAATTATTATCTCTGAACTGAAATGACAAGCTGTGACAATAACTAGTGATAGTAATATTTATTTTTTTAAGTTTACAGGCTGATATTCTGGAATACTGATGATTGAGGTGTTGCAGATGTGAGGGGTCTCTTTGGTTACGGTGTCATGAGAGTCAGTGCCAGTGTTGTACCACCCGACACTTCAGAGGCGTCACAGAAGGGGAGATATAGCACCACATATGATGACAACTCTATTAAGAGCCAGATGGGTGGTGGTGGTGTGCGAGAGCCAGATGGGTGGTGGTGGTGTGCGAGAGCCAGATGGGTGGTTGTGGTGTGCGAGAGCCAGCTGGGTGGTTGTGGTGTGCGAGAGCCAGATGGGTGGTTGTGGTGTGCGAGAGCCAGCTGGGTGGTTGTGGTGTGCGAGAGCCAGCTGGGTGGTTGTGGTGTGCGAGAGAGCCAGATGGGTGGTTGTGGTGTGCGAGAGCCAGATGGGTGGTGGTGGTGTGCGAGAGCCAGATGGTGGTGGTGGTGTGCAGAGCCAGCTGGGTGGTTGTGGTGTGCAAGAGCCAGATGGGTGGTTGTGGTGTGCGAGAGCCAGATGGGTGGTGGTGGTGTGCGAGAGCCAGATGGGTGGTGGTGGTGTGCGAGAGCCAGCTGGGTGGTTGTGCGAGAGGCAGCTGGAGTGGTCGTGGTGTGCGAGAGCCAGATGGGTGGTTGTGGTGTGCGAGAGCCAGATGGGTGGTCGTGGTGTGAGAGCCAGCTGGTGGTCGTGAGCCACCAGCTGGGTGGTCGTGATGTGCGAGAGCCAGCTGGGTGGTCGTGATGTGAGAGAGCCAGATGGGTGGTTTGTGGTGTGCGAGAGCCAGCTGGGTGGTCGTGATGTGAGAGAGCCAGCTGGGTGGTCGTGGCGTGAGAGCCAGCTGGGTGGTCGTGATGTGAGAGAGCCAGATGGGTGGTTGTGGTGTGCGAGAGCCAGATGGGTGGTCGTGGTGTGAGAGAGCCAGCTGGGTGGTCGTGGTGTGCGAGAGCCAGCTTGGTGGTCGTGATGTGTGAAAGTCAGCTGGGTGGTGGAGACAGTAGGTGGTATGAGAGAGCCAAACTCTCGCCCCAGGAGCAACACACTATCACAGGAAAGATTATGCCTTACATGTTTGCTCAAAATACTGTGAAGTTTCATTTACATTTCCAAAGCCAAGCGTGCTGCGTTAGACACATTAACTGACAAATGTATTGTAATACAAGAGTTGTTACAAATGTTATGAACCTTTAACAAACACAATAAATACTCAACAATGATATACTGTGTATATATATATATACAGTATAATGGTAGTCTTATATACTGCCTAGGTGTCCGCCCAAACTTGCTCACTTGTTAATTGTAATAATATTAGATATAAAATATGTATATTGTGTGTATGTGTGTCATGTTATACTGTATGTACTGCACAGTGAAGCGGCACTAGCCAGTGTCTCACACACACACACACACACACTGGTGGGACCATATTTTTGTACAAATGAAAATAATGATTGTTATATTATACTGTATGTCGTGCTGACACTCACCTCACTAGTACAGTGACTGATTAGTTGACTCACAAACTATTAGAGATGAATCACTGTCAAAATAACATAGTGCATGAGCAAAAAAAAAAAAAAAAAAAAGCTGCTGCAGAAAGAAAGCGTGTTTCGTTTCTATCATAAATTAAAAACAATCGCTCCAGTGCACCATGTTGCTCTGACACTGAAAATGATTCAAGAGTTTTGCATTAAAACAAAAATAGGTAAACAAAATTGGGGGCATAATATTACTCGATAATGACCAATAAAAACGGAAGTCCACATAATGTCTCTTATGTGAACGTACAATTTATTGTAATCAAAATGGAATAAAAATTGTATCCTCTTAGAAAATCTGATAAGTGATTATTTATTCAAGCATCTCTTAGGATATAAGCCCATTAAATGGCACTGTTCACATATTAGCTGTCTCTTTACAACAAGTAATCAGTGTTCGATAAAAAACACGCATTGCTGTTTTCATTCCTACAATGTAATGGTGACTACCGACTGCCATATACAAACAAGAGAACCTTTACTTTCTACTTATGACAAAATGATCAACAAAATATTATACAAAATACATATTACATGAAACTACAAATTAGATACAGTATGAATGTTCTTAAGAGTTGTTGTATGTGCATTTATGCATTTCAACAACTAAGCAAGCACAGGCATAAAGTCACTTCTTGCATGAGACACGTGAACCAAGGAATATCCAATAAGGAAGTATAAGTCTCGCTTAATAATAATAGACTCTTTAAAAAATAATATTAATCAAAATTAGGAATTCCCAGTGTCCGTAGATAGAGTTCGGTCAACTCGGTGACATACGGGCACCTATGTTGTTACTTCGCTGATGAACAAGTTTACGCTCGTACTGTAGAGAATGATGTTTATTCAGTAAAATTGGAATATATTGTAGTGGACGTCTCCCCTACAACTGCGTAGCCGCATTCCAATGCCACAGTATCCTAGCAACCAGCCACCTGCTACGTCTTCCCTAGCAACCAAACGAGCGGCCCAAGGGGGGGGGGGGCGTCACCAGATGCCACAGTATCCTAGCAACCAGCCACCAGCTGCTACTGTATCCTAGCAACGGGTCGAGAAACCGGCGACTTCCCACGGTTTACTTCTGGCGGCTGTGTATATAAGCTCTGTCTCTCCATTGAGATTCATTCTGCTCTCGGTTCCTGAACACGCAACACCTCCAAGCAAGCTCCTCGCTGTCCAGCTTTCATTCAACCAGGAGGCCAGCAACAGGCAACATCTTCTCTAACGAAGCTCCTACACATCTACCTCCTTCAACACGCTACTCACCGAACGTGTCTACTGAGCAGCTCCTCACCACACGGCATCTCCAGCACCAGACTGTCTACCATATAACTTATATTATATAAGAAAACCACCACCTTGGAGTTTCCATCCATCCTGAGTGCTAGACAACATAATATCACGAAACCCTACAATATTTTTACAATTGGATAAGCATGTTTGTAAACTATGTGGGAGATAGCCAGAAAATACTTTCCACTCGCTGAGTGGCGCCCGGTTGGCTGAACTCTATCTACGGCCTCAACGAGACTGGTGTCACCTGAAGAAACGCTTATAAAATTAGGGAAAAATATTACTGTTTATTGGGCTATTTTTTTCTTAGCTTCAAAGAAGAGGTACTTGTGAACTTCATAGAAAAACTCAGTATAATTAGTTTACTTGGATAAAATTAACAATATAAACCATAACTAAAGAAGATATTGCTGGGCGTTTTATTAAACTTGCATTATAAGTAACGAATGGGCATTGAACGGAAATCTTTAGTGTTTTTCATTTTATTCCTTGATGCTAAGAAAGTACAATGCCTTCAGAGCATAAATGGAAAATAATTTTATCATAGACACTAGGGGGAAAACAGGGACCACATCCTAAGGTTGAAGAAGCCGCAAGTCGAGAAAACTTTTTTCGGGGGTGAGAGCTAAGAAAGAACAATCTACCAGAGAGCGTTGTGACGGCACCGAATGTGAGCTCATCCAAGAATAAACTTGATTAACACTGGCGCATATACAGACAAAATCTGGAACTTGTGCTTGCCAACAATATGTAGCAGACAACCAGTATATGCTTAGTATTTGCCATCAGTTCTCGGGCCATTGTGAAAAGGTGAATGAAGCAACTAAACTAGTAGGTTGTTCAGATAACTACACGGTCCCTCGTAACACTAAGAGTAAGGTGCTTCCCCGTCTGGTCCCCGAGATATGCTAGAGACTGCCAGTTACCCAGAGATTAGAGCGCCTGCAACTGCCTAGTTTATACTACAGACGGGCAAGGGGTGACCTAATTGGGGTGTATAAACATCTCAGAGGGCACTACACAGTCAAGTGTCCTGGAGCTGGTGGACGCAAGCTCGGCTCACACTTGGTGCCCTCACAACAGTCTCTTGCAGATTGTTCCAAGAGTTCTTTTTCTTGACTTGCAGCTTCTTCAACCTTGAACTGTGACCCCTTGATTGAAAATATACTTAAAATTTACTAATAAATTTCTTACAATATTCTTATTAAAAATTGTATTGTGGTTAATACAGTATATAGGACTAACCCGCCGGGCTGCATAGCGCCGATGCGGCCAAATCATCTCACGTCCAGAAATAACTCAAATATCACCATATCATAGTTAGTTCTTTCTGTTTAATATACCGGGGAAGTTAGGTAGGTTTGTTTGGTTGGTTAGGTCTGTTCTTCATAACCACAAAGGTTAAGCAGCGGTTCTTTTTAAACATCCGTTTTTTAACATATTTCCACAAACTACAAGTGTCCATTATGAGATTAACAATGAAAATCCGGCGTTTTTATAAAAAAAAAATCGGTAAATTTGTATAAGTGCACCCAACTGTTAGAAAGTAAAAAAATATATTTTTCTAGTGTATTTATGTGTGTTTAGATCGGTTATGACCTTCATTTCCGTCGGAAATTTGCCTTTTTTTTGTGGGGCGTTTTCCGAAAAAAAAATAATGGCTAAGCGAATACAAAATACACAAACACACTAGAAAAACATAAGCCTGACCTAACGTAACCTAACTGACTCACACCATATGATGGAATCACTTATTTCTTACCTTATTGGCCTGGTTCTTGTTCGTCGTTGGAGTTACCACAAGGCCACATATGTTGGTCTTGACGACATTTACATTCGTTCTTGCACTTAGAACACTTTATTGCGGTCGGGAGAACACCACGAGATCGAAAAATGCTATAGTTTCTTCGTTTTTTCCCCCCAACCTCGCAATCAGCTCCATATAATTGAAGTGACACCCATCGCAGACTTCCATGGTCGGATATGAATTTGATTTTCGAAATATGAGACCCAAAATAGAAATCAAATTTGATTGGGCCAAAAAATACCGCGAATTAAACCACAAATAATTTTAATTGGTTGCAAAAAAAAAAACGCTTTTGATTGGCCGCGTGACATACGGGAACCCATGCGCGTGATGATTTATGAAGGAGACACGCAGTGTAGTAGGTGATAATAGCGGAAGATTAATGGAAGAAAATTTTGGATACACTATCTCCGTTATTATACATTTACTTGCTCAGACGGTAGTGCAATAGAAGAAAATGATCTTATAATAAGACGTCTTATTCGAATATGATAATAGATTAGGGGTAGGAATGTCGGGTGCGGAAATACAATAATACCTTGTTTTCAATCAATTTCGCCCGCGGGTTAGTCCTATATAATTACCAAAATTGTTTTAGCATTTATAAATTAATTCT